TATCAGTAATATATTTATCAATTTATCAATAATAACTATTATCAATAGTTCCAGAACTAGGAAAAAGTATGAATGTTATACATCGGGTGAATCGCCTTTACGCGCCGACCACCACCATTTGATCTGTCGAGTGCGTATTTTAATAAAGTCATTATTCCTTTTCTTATTTTGGCAACTGTAGCAGTCACTTTAATTGACAAAACTTTCTCTATAAAAAAGGTATTGCCTGAGTAATTTGCATCAAATACATCAAAAAGTTAAAAATAAAATAGCATTAAAAAAACGAACTATGATTTTTAAAAAATATATAATTTTACACTTAACTTACAAGTAAATACCTAATGTTTGTTCCTTTAAACTTCTCTTTACCTTTACAGCCAGCCATATTAAATTTTGATTATAAACCATCGGTCAACAACCTGCATTATACATTGTTATTATTATTATAGTTACATTAAAAATTGATAAACATGTCTTTTACAAAATACAAATTATTCTCAATGAAAAATTGCACAAACCGTAATGCAAGTAAGAAAATTCTTACCAAACCGTAATGCAAGTAAGAAAAAGAATTGATATAGGGGAAGAGTTTGGTCTAAGGAGACCACCTTCTAAACGCAAGAAAACACCAAGAGCGGACAGTATAATCAGAAATATCTGCCTGGAAAACAGAAAAAAAGCCACAAAGCTTATCCATGAAGCTGTAATTGTTGTGTCAGACCGGACCATTTGTAGAAGGCTAAAAGAAGAGGGATTGATGTCCAGCCAAAAAAGTAAAAAATTGACAAAAAAATTTAAAAATATTAAAAATAATGTCAAAAATCTTATATTTATGCATTTATATATATATATATATATATATATATATATATATATATATATATATATATATATATATATATATATATATATATATATATATATATATATAATATATTCATATAAGCATATGTATGTATATATACATACATATATATGTATGTTTATTTATGTAGATATATATGTATGTATATATAGAGTAAAAAAAAGGTTAAGTATGCATTACAAATCAACCTTTGTACTTTAAGGTTGTTCTTTAGCTCAAGGAAATACAAAATTAAGAGAAAACAGTTACAAAAAAATTATAATCAGACATAAAAAAAAAGACTTATGATTAGAATTCGTCAAACTTTTAAAAATATATGCTACACATATTTTTAACACAAGTTTAAAGCAAACTATAATAAAAAGATTCAAAAGATTTTTTATTTAAAACTACTTTTAACAAACCTTTGCATCACATTTTTTTGTATTTGTCTTAATGGTTTTACCTCCAAATTTAGAAAGTTTGTTAACCTAAAGGTTTAAAAAAATAATTACACCACATTATTTTTATAGTATATTTATAAAAAGTTACAAGTAGATTAACTTAGGCTAAGTTATTAATAAATATTTTTTCAAAAAACAATAAAAAAAACTGCAAAAAGACATGGTTTGAAACAACCCATCACTTCTGACCTCACCCAAGAATCATTTAAACTGTTATCATAATCATTAAATTACTAATGCAAGTTCATCCATAGAATTTCAGAACTCTTTTTCATGATATTACTTTAATTACTGGAAAGAGTTTTTACTAACATCTCTTTCTAACAGTAAAGATATATCAGAAAGACAAAAGAACCAAACATTAATTAATTTCTAAAAGCGTTAAAACACAAGAACAAAACATTTATAAAATAAAACATTATTCATAAATTAAATAAAATGTATTAATTTAGCAACCAATAAAATGTGTAAATCACTGAAGCATAGAAAAAAATGTTCAGAATCTTTTCTTCCTAAATCAACTTGCAGACAGACAATTAATACCTTGAGCTACAGTACGTGGAGTATGCATAAAAATTGTTTTCTGTTTCTTTTTTTGCATTACAGGAGTAGGTACTTGCTTACTATTCTGTTGGTTATTATGTTTTCTCTTGCATAAGCATGGTAGTGGCTCCTATAAAAATTAATATCAAAATAAAACTAATAATACTTGAATTAAGTATCTTTTAAAATAGTTACCGTTTTCTGAATCTGATTCTCTCTGAGTATCACTAGTAATGGCAAATTCAAATTTATCACATAACTCTAAGAATATTCATTCAATTTAAAAATGTTTTAAATACATTATATAATAAAGAATATATAGTAAAGAATATATCTAAACACTGAAAACAACATATACAGAATGAAAGCATGTTAAAAAAACAAGGAAAAAAAGTAATGACTTAAGGTTTATATAAAAATTACATTATCTCCATGACATTTAATTTTGAGCAGCCTAAATCTGTATTAGTTAGATGCGGTTTATGCATTTCATTGAAACAATTTATTACATTTAATGATGATGGCCTGCACAAAAAATTATCAATCGAATTTTCTCTCTTTATTTCTCTGTATTTTCTATCCAAACAGCTCAAATGAACATTTTGCTTGCCCTACTATACTTTTTCAACTGGATAAGTATAGTAGAAAATATAATAGAAAAAATACTCATATATTAAAAATTTATTCATGTAAAATAGCTAACAGAAAAATACAACTTTTAACTGTACGTTATGATACATTATACAGTTGCTAAAATTTGCTAAAATTTTATGTTGATCCTTCTACCAGCCAATATCATGGACTAAAGGAGCAAGCACTAATTCTTTTTTATACAACTTTACAAGAAAAATCTTTAAAAATTTAATAAAAATTTTTTAATATAAAAAATATTAAAACTCTTTAAATCACATGGATTGGTAAAAAAGTTTGATAAATCATTATTTTGTAAAACATCATCCATTTTCATACACAAACTCAACACAATAAAACTTTCCATTAGTTAGTAAAAAGCCATCTTAGGTTAATAAATAATTATTCCTTAACTGTTCCAATTAAGGCAACTCTTCCCTATATATATATATATATATATATATATATATATATATATATATATATATATATATATATATATATATATATATATATATATATATATATATATATATATATATATATATATATATATATATATATATATATATATATATATATATATATATATATATATATATATATATATATATATATATATATACGTTGTATATAACACACACATATATATATGTGTGTGTGTGTGTGTATATACATATATACACACATATATATATATATATATATATATATATATATATATATATATATATATATATATTAATTTATAAAAATAAAGAAAACAACTTTTTATGGTACTACTAGTTTCATGCCTAAAGGCAATCATCAGCCATGTAATACAAAACAAGAAACAAAAAAAACCGTTAAAATATAAAGTTACAGTGGAGTGTGCTCCGTCGTCAAAACAAAACAAAAATAAAAAGATAAGAAAAAACTAAAAACAGCTGCCTAATCACCCGTATCGAAATTCGAAAGGAGGAATTTGCTTTTATGTCTACATTTAGATACTAATTCATTCCTCTTATTTAATAAGTTATCATAGGTGTACGATATTATGAAATACTTTTCGTATAGACATAAGTTGCATCGATTGTATCAGGATGCATTAAAAAAGTCTGGTTACAAATTTAAACTTAATTATATTCCAAAACTCATTCCACCTCTACCAAAAAACCGTAAGCGCAATATTATCTGGTTTAACCCCCCATATAGTAAAAATGTTTCTACTAAAATTGGTAAAATCTTTTTGGATTTAATTGACAAGCACTTTCCAGTTGGCCATAAATACCACAAGATTTTTAATAGAAATACTTTAAAGGTGAGTTACAGTTGTATGCCAAACATTAAATCAATCGTTAACTTTCATAACCGTCATATTATGAAAAACATCCCCCCAGAATCAGATAAAAGTTGCAATTGTATTACTAAAAGCAAGTGCCCTTTAAATCAACAGTGCCTCGTTAATAACATAGTGTATCAAGCCACTCTATATCCAGGCACTCCAGACGGGATTGAAAAAGTGTATTTTGGAGTAAGTGAAACTGCTTTTAAACTTAGATACGCTAATCATACAAAATCTTTTAACATCGAAAAATATAAAAACGATACAGAGTTGTCTAAGGAAGTATGGAAGTTAAAAGAAAATGGAGTAAACCCGACAATTAAATGGAAAATTTTAAAACGTTGTAGATCTTACAATCCTACAATAAAACGATGCAACTTATGTCTATACGAAAAGTATTTCATAATATCGTACACCTATGATAACTTATTAAATAAGAGGAATGAATTAGTATCTAAATGTAGACATAAAAGCAAATTCCTCCTTTCGAATTTCGATACGGGTGATTAGGCAGCTGTTTTTGGTTTTTTCTTATCTTTTTGTTTTTGTTTTGTTTTGACGACGGAGCACACTCCACTGTAACTTTATATTTTAACGGTTTTTTTTTGTTTCTTGTTTTGTATTACATGGCTGATGATTGCCTTTAGGCATGAAACTATTAGTACCATAAAAAGTTGTTTTCTTTATTTTTATAAATTAATATAATGCTCTATTAAATAATATAAATAAATCCTATTTATTTATTATTGAGCACTCTTATACGTACAAGAGTTTTTTGTATTTTATTGCAAATACAAAATATCATACAATATATTATATATATATATATATATATATATATATATATATATATATATATATATATATATATATATATATATATATATATATATATATATATATATATATATATATATATATATATATATATATATATATATATATATATATATATATATATATATATATATATATATATATATATATATATATATATAGGTACGGGGACTGATTTTTTTAAATTAATTAAATAATAGACTATTGTATATCATTAGAAAGCCCTTAAATACAGTATTTCAAAGGTGAAAAAATTATGAAAATCGGACAATTCTATAAAAAGTTATAGCGTTTTTAGTAGCATATTTACGATATATGGATTTATTGAAGAAACTGGTTCCAAAATTATTTTTTTTCCCACTAAAATTGTTATAACTTTGTCAAATCTTATCCAAATGTCTATACCTTGGTATCAAAAGATAGATGTAAGAGTAGGCTACAAGTTCATATAACTCTATAGATAAAAGGGGTGTCTAGAGGGCCGGAGGGGGTACGGAACACCCTCATACCCTTAAAAAAATACAAATTTTTCACACGAAAAAGTGTTTTTCTGATAAAATATATTATCTTTATACACAAAAAATTGTTCTAATTTGCTTTCATTCCATTTCCAAATATTAGTGGTCTATTTTAGATTAAAGAGTCGATGTCTTTGTTACGTTTTAACACCCTTGTAGTGAATTGTTCCATTCTCATAAATACTTTAACATAAAAAACACTGATTATATTTTGTGTTAAAAAGTTCAAATTGTAAATTTAAATTGTAAAAAACACTGATTATATTTTGTGTTTAAAAGTTTAAATTGTATTTTCTTACTTTACAGCATGTTGTATTAATTGAAATTAAAATCAAGTGTTGTATTAATTGACTTCATGGCTGGGATGTGTGGCTGGAACACCCTCTGCCTCTCCCCCAGTGTTCTCCAACCTAAAAAAAAATTTTAAAAAGAGATTTAAAAAAAGGTTTTCAATTGAGTTTATTGAAGAAAAGAAGTTAGTATACAAGATTATTTTACTACATTAGTTAGGGGAGGGGCGTGTGTCACGTCCAACGCCCCCCCCCCCCTTCTACTTATTCACACTTTAAAAAAATGTTTATAGAATTTTAAAAACGTTTTTCAATTGCATTTATTTAAAAAGGCAGACATAACTTTACAAATCTTACCACATTATAAGATGTAAGATGGAGTATCCACCCTAAAAATAAGCCAAAGATAAAACAAATTTTATAACTTGCATTTAAAAAGTGACAAAACATTAAATATAATAAATTTATATCTTGGCTTTTAGTAAATGATATTATTTAAAATTTCAATAATGAAACTAAATAAATCACTTTTAATAATAGACACCACGTGAAGGTAAGCCAGAGCCGTCTATCAAAAATATTTTGCAAGCTACACAACTTGCGATACTCCTTTTGCAAGCTACACAACTTGCTACCATATTTGCAAGCTAAACAACTTGCGATACTCCTTTTGCAAGCTACAAAACTTGCGATACTCCTTTTGCAAGCTACACAACTTGCTGTACCATCTTTGCAAGCTACGCAACTTGCTGTACCATATTTGCAAGCTACACAACTTGCGGTACTTCTTTGGTAATTTTTCAATATAATGTAAATATAATTAAAAACTGTTATACATAATATAAACTATTTTCATGTTCAAATATAAATTATAAAAATTTAAATAAAGTAATAAAAGCATATAAATTATTTTTATATTCAAATTAAGAAAATACTAATTCTCCTGTTATAACATCAGCAGCAAGCTGTATTTTTTTCATCTTATATTCAACAGCTTCAATATCTGTTTCATCTTGAATCCAGTAAGAAATAGTGTAAATTCTGTCTTGTTGTCTCTTGTTTACTTTTTCTACTCTTCCATCATAAATAACTGTCTTTGAATAGTTGGCAACATACCATTCGTGACAGAGTTTTCTTCCAACAATTCTTTCAGACATAACATCATCTAAATCATCAAGTTGCTTGGCAGATAAGTGTTTATATAAATTCATTATTTCGCTGGTAGTTAATAGACATAGCTCACGCTCTAACTTTCTTTTTTGTTTTTCATCCATTTTTTGACGTTTAAACACCTGTCTAACAGAAATTTCTGTTCGAATTTCATTATGTAGTAGTCGAGATCTCATTCTTTTTTTACGTGCCATGTAAATAGACCACTTTACTACCTTTTCTCAAGACAACTGCTCAAGATTATCGAGATAATCTATAGTTTTATTCTTTTTGGATCTTAATTTGCTAGATATATAAGAAATTGTTGCATTGGGGCATCGTCCTTTGGCATCACTAAACATACCAACTAATTCTTCACTATCTATATTGTGAAGCCTTGCACTAGCTGTCTCTTTTTTGAGTTTTGCAGTAATGGAAAGAGAAAAATATCTTTTATATTGACGAGTCAAAACTTCATCAATTACATTTAGACAAGCAGAAGTCATTTTAACAATTTGCTCATCAATGGGGCATAAAGTTGTAATAGATTGTAAAATATTTGGGGCAAGCGTTGTCCCAAAAGAATCTGTTTCTCTACAAAATAGTATAGCTGGATCAGATTTGCAATAAGTAATTTCTTTTAAAACATTTTTTACTACTTGGATACCAGTGACATGATCAAAACTTGCATCATCAGCTGATACATAAAACTTAGTCATCCAAGGTCCATTTAGAAGTTTACTGAACAGCGCAAGCACTCCCATTTGTTTTATAGCTGTTGCATTACAAAATGCTTCTCGCAAAATCGGTTGTAAACTGAAACATTTTACTGTTCCAATGGTCAGATAATTTAGAAAATCAGTATAGTGTTTCATAAAAATGAAACAGGTATGGAAAAGAATGTGCAGGCGGTTACCACGATACCGTGGAATAATACCTCGCGGTAGTTTGTTATTGTCTAAAAAATTTACAAAACCTTGTGGATCACCTTTGCCATCTTTAAACCTCATCTTGTTTATTGCTAACACAATTTTTACTGCCATACAATCACTTCCATACAATTTGCAATGTCTAGAGATTTCAAAACTTCGCGACATGAAATGGCAATTGTGTCTAGAGGGTGTAAATGACAGTTTAGTTCATTCAAATTCTTTCCCCAGGTATTACAAATTTTGGAAATGGTAAGATGATTAACCGACACCCTGTCAGACATTGTGTTGGATATATTTGATATGACTTCCCTTTAATGAACTACGACATTCATTAAAGGGAAGCGAGTGAAAATCTGAATAAATAAAAGCTAAATGATCAACTGCACCACATATATGGCTTTCATAATCAACAGCTGTTCCACCTGGTAACTGGTCCAGAGCAATGACCTGACAGTTGTTTTTAGATTTCAGATGAACAGTGTTGATATGAACACCTTCTTGTGTTGTTGCATCGAATCCAAGTGTAAGATAAGAATTACTCATTCTGCTGCCTGCAGTTCTGCTATACTGCCAAGCTCACCAGCCATTTGTTTGATAGTACAACGATGAGGAATGTCCATAAAGTTAACACCCAAATACTGCCCAATTTTTGAAATTAGGAATTGAATATTACCGGTTGGAACATTGGCTAATAACATGCTATAAATTATCATCCTCATTTTTAAAGGGTAACTCATTGTCTTCTGACATATTAACATTTGGAATTTTCCCCTCTTTTATCTGGAAAATATCATTTTCTAATTGAGCAATTAACATTTTATTTGCTTTACCATCATTATTATGTTTTACTGTTATTTGCATTAAGTTTTGTTTTTCTTTTACTGTCAACGCCTTTTTTTTTGCTTTAAGATTGCGAAATAACCGACTGTAATGATAAGTTTTAATTTGTTTTTTTAGTTCTCTAACTTCTGTCCTTAAAGCTTTAATAATTTCTTCTTTCCTTTTTATACTTTTCTTTAATATTTTTAACTTATATGGCATGCTATTGTATTTCAATTTAACTTTTGCTACTTTTTTCTTGTAGTCTTTGGTTGAGATAGCTAACTGAGAAGACAAATAGGATAACCTAGTGATGAGTTTAGCTTTTTTGGGGGTTAGTTCTTCTCTAGATGCATGCTTTTTTTTATTTTCTATGGAAATTTCAGACGAAAACGGTGTGTCATTAACTAGGGGTAAAACAGCCATATGTTCATGGGATGACAGAACAGAAGACCCTGAAACAGTAATAAATGAACTAGTCTGATTAAGATCTATTGCCTTTTTTCAATGACATGTTTGGTGAATGGTATTCAAAGGGATGATTACAAAATTCAGTAAATTTTGAAAAATCCCTATCATAATTTTTAGCCAATTTTTTGGAAATGTTAATAACATTATAAAGTTTATGTTTACTAGTGTTAAAGCTAAATAACTGATTGACTTGTTTAAGAGTATTAACAATGGACTCACCGTTATTAATGAATAAAAGAAATGTCCATTTTGACAGCGTGTAGGTGTTTCGCCATGCAAAGTAAAGTTTACAGCTAAATCCTTTTTCACTGCATCCGGAAACATAACTCCACTTTTTATTGGATCTTTAAATCCTTTAAAAATATAAATATAAAGAGTTAATATGCAATAGTTTTAATTAAAATTTTTGAAAAATAAACAAATATAGATTAATTTGTTAACAATTAATAACATAATAATACAACATGTAAAAAAAGTACTAAATAATATAGACTTAAAAAATCTCATACATACCTTCTACAAACAAGTAATGGTTACGTAAATATAATATTTAGAAACTGTAAACATAAGTTAAACTGGTTTAAAATCAAATAGTTAAACTAGTTTAAAATCAAATAATATTACTTAACTCAAACAAACAGTAAATAAACTAAAAAAAAAAAAAGATTAGTAATTAAGTATGCAAAAGATATTTCACATTAATTAACTCACATTAAATTAAGTACTAGCTTTTAAAATAACTAACCGTAGCAACTAATAAAGTAAAGATCAAAAATAATATAAATTAAACCAAGATATACATGCTAATATTTGATATTCAAGTTATACTATACAAACTTACAAGTGGTAGACTGGGTAGATCGAGCTAAAAATAACAAAAAAAAGTGTATAATTACAACAAAACGCTATGCAATTATGAAAGTAACTATCATAGTTCTGTGGAAGATGCAACAACTTTATTAACATAATGAAAACTAACAGTGAAAATATAAAGAAAATACTTTAATAAACAACAAGCTAACATTAGAAATGGTTATTCACTTTGTTTATATATTAATTACGTTATATTGGTTGTGGTTATATATAAAATATGTGATTTATACTTACGATATCTCAAAAAGGCTTCATAATGTGCAGCAGGATCTAAACAACATGCAAACATTAGGCATGCTTGTATTGTGATTTAAATAATAATCCACAGATAAAGAAGTATACAATCCAAAAGTAATAAAAGATGATAATAAGTTGATAAGTTTTATCATATTTAAAAATACTAACAAGTCTTTTGCAAGGAATAAACCAATGAAGTATCTGATTTGTATACTTATTTATATGTTTTGTCTTTATAAAACTGTCAACAGATACTATTAGTTAACAATCCATTTAAAAGCCAAAGTTTTAGACTGAAGCATTAATCTTCTTTTTTATGTAACATATAAAAACAGATTAGGAATTAATCTGTTTTTATATATTACATTAAAAATCAAAAAATATTCATAAATGATTTATGAATATTTTTTGATTTAAAATAGTTATTATTGATATTTTTATAAAAAAATTAAACTTACTACCTGTTAGGGATGCAAGAGGAGTTCTGTCTTCAGAGCTCATGCTTTATTTTAATCTAATAATAAAAATCAAAATAATACAAAATAAGGATTAATTTTTTTTTTTTTGTAAAGTCGGCCCCCCTATCCGCCCCCGTATTTCGCTTAACAAAAAAAAACATCAGAAAAACCAAAATTAGGTACAAAAAGTTCTACACTAATTAAACTATCTGCGGAGCTTTATTTTTAGTTGAAATTTGGCATGTGCATAGAAAATACATGTATAAAATTATCTAAATCATAAAAAAGGGGGATCAACATTTCTTCGACTAAAAATTCATGTGAGAACATCAACCAAATTTTTATGCAAAGTTTTTGGCAAAATAATCCATAAAAAATTATACTAACCAAACATATTAGTCATAAAATATCAAGCTTAACTTTTCGTCTTTTAAAAATAATATAGGTTTGTATATGTTTCTGATAAGAATCACCACAAAAAAATGTTTGGCTAGGACTACCTAAAATAAGTAGTAAACTTAGTATAACACTAATTAAACTATCTGCGGAGCTTTATTTTTAGTTGAAATTTGGCATGTGCATAGAAAATGCATGTAGAAAACTATCTAAATAATAAAAAAGGGGGATCAATACTTCTAAATATTACTAAATACAATATAATTATTACTAATACTTTAAATATATTACTAAATACAATACTAAATATTCATGTGAGAACATCAACCATATTTTCACGAGCAAAATAATCCATAAAAATGTTAAGTAACCATACATAAATGTCATATATAAATCAAGATTAACTTTTCTTCTTTCAAAAAAGTATCTATGTGCATATATGTTTCTAAAAAGAAACTCCATAAAATTACGTCTGCCTTATGCTGCCTAAAAAAGTGTTAAAAAATCGAGAACCAATATTTTAGCATAAAAATCGGTTCCGTAAATCGCGATTTCCGCGTACCTAATATATATATATATATATATATATATATATATATATATATATATATATATATATATATATATATATATATATATATATATATATATATATATATATATATATATATATATATTATATAAATAAGAAAAACATATATAATATATATTTTATATTTATATAATATATCAAGTAATCTTTACTTGTAATCCACACTCATGAAATAATACGGTCATAAAGAAATATCCATTTAATATTTACCTAACTAACTGCATCACAAGTTAAGCCATGTATTATTGTTAAATTGACAAATTCAAAACCTTATAAAAAGGCAACAGAAGGCTTAATTTATTAGCATTTGTGACTTTACTTGTTTTTATTGGGCTAATAAGTAACTTTTTAAGTCTTTACTTGTTATTTGTTATGCTAATATAAAAATTTTTAAGTCACATATGCGTATTTTAGTTCTCATATTGCAATTACGAACGGTCGAACTCGTAATATAGACGTTGAATTAACGTGGAATCAACGTCGATTTTATTTGATAATTTTAAACAAATTTTTCAACGTTGATACAACGTTGATTTTTGGTTATACGACGTCGCGACTAAAAATCAACTGTAAATCAACGTCGAAATAACGTCGATAAGCATTAGACCAAAAGACATTTTGAGCTTATCAATAAAAAAATTTTTTTTTTTAAGAAATCATAATAGCCGCCTTATTATCTTTCTTTATTTTTGAAAAAATACTATTCTAGTTACGATCGTGTATTTGCTAGAACATGTTCAAGATAAATATACATTAAATATATTGCCGGCAGGACTACTAGAAGATCACACAATCTTTTCATGAATTCCTTTACAATTTACATTAAAAAAAAAAAAAAATTTAGTTCATTAAAGAAATGTTTCCTGTCTGGCAATTTGTACAACAATGTCATCAAATGAGAGTCATTTTACTTACATCAAAGGAGGCCGCTCTTGATTAATTCTATTAATGAATTCTATTACAGAATTAATTTTTATATGCTTTAAATGTGAGAAACTTATTTCTCCTGAAAAATTTCTTACCATTAGACTAAGGTAAATTCTAAAAGATACTGCAACATTCGGAAAAGTTTCTACCAAACCATCATTGAACGAAATGCGACATATCAACAACTCCTTGCTTGTGTTTGCATTATCAGAACTCATTGCGTGACTGCGTATTGAATCATTTCCTAATTTCAATGTCATTGGAGTAATGTGCTGCTAAAGTATCACAGTGTTTTATCACTTCCATACGAATAAATATTTTCAAGTTGTTCATGAACCCAAATCTGCTGGCCACATCTGAATATGTGGCAGATCTTTAAATCAATGCTGTTTCGATTGATCAATAATAGCAATCAGCACATTAACTCAAAATTCATCTTTTGCAAGCAGAAGAACTTCTTCAAAAGTACCCTTATTGAACTGTTGCTTTCTTTTTCTGACTCTTTTGACTTCTTTTTTATAAACTTCACATTTGGACAACTCTTTTCCATATTTCTCAAATTTATCCAATTCTGTTGAATATCTCAACTATTGAACATACTCAAATAATAAATGCAACAAACCAACAGCTTTATTCAAATCTAAAGTTACACCTTGTAAAGCTAGACTTGTTTTATTGAATCTTTAAAGTTTCGTGTCCCAAGACATCAATTAAATTCTTTAGCTTTATAGGTTGACGCAAATAAGAAAGTTTATAATAATTTAAAAATAGTATTTTGATGGTTCGCAGTAATATTTAAGTATAAACATTAATAATTGCCATAACAAAACGGCAAACAACAACTTTTTGTTAAACTTTACATTAAATGAATGGAGTAATACAAGAATGAATGGAATTATGATATACAACTAATAAAACTTTAGGCTTTAGTAATTTAGAAAACATTTTTTTGATTTTTGAAAAATTGTTTTAGCTGTCTTTTTAATCAAACGTCGTGTTATGACTTGAAGTTAGAAAAGAAGCTTTAACTAACATATGCTTTTAAAATAAAGTGATTCTATTTAATAAAGTTTTAATAAACCTTTTGTAGAATAATTACAATTACTAATGGTTAAGGATATGTAGCATATCCTTAAAATAATTATTTTTTTTTGTTTTAATAAAAATCATTTTAGTGAATTATGTTGTTTTTTTTTCCAGTGAAACTTGTGTTTTTTTGTTTGTCGGTTACAAGGATATCCCCGAGACGACTTGAAATTGCTTTGATGTTTGTGACTTGATGAACTTCCATCTATTTTATACTTCCATGGTTTACATAAAGAACTGTCACAGACAACTGATCGACGTGTGGTAAGCCACGTGTTGAATTAATTAACACATTATAATGCTTTGCTTTTTTCAACAATAATTTATAAATAAAAGTACTTTTTGACCCATCAAACTATTGAGTTCATCACAGACAACAGAAGATAAGTATGATGCTTTGCCACGATCTAGGTTGCCATGCTAATCAATATGTGCAGCCAAAAAAAGATTGTAAAGAGCTAATTAGCTCTTTACAAATGCCGACTTGGTAATATTGGTTATCTGTTCTTTGGCGGACGGTGGATGTGGTAAGTTTTTAGCTAAGCGTAGTTTGCCACTTCGTGGACATGGAGAGAAATTTGATTCAGTACACAATGGTTACTTTATGGGCACTCCGCGAGCAATTAATTGCTCGCGGAGTGCCCATAAAGTTACCATTGTGTACTGAATCAAATTTCTCTCCATGTCCACGAAGTGGCAAACTACGCTTAGCTAAAAACTTACCACATCCACCGTCCGCCAAAGAACAGATAACCAATATTACCAAGTCAGCATTTGGTCTGAAAAAAAAATTATTTAAACATTCAAAAGACGTTCAAAAGATGTCTTTTTCAGACCAAATGCCGGCTGGGTAGATTCATTTAAGATTGCTTTCTCCTGTTCCTTATCAACACAACTAACCGCACCGTGTTGCTATGCAAATGCTAAACAAGCCGATATATGACTTTCACTATTTTTATGTAGCTCAACATTAAGTTATCCATTTTTTCCAATGATTAAACCCTTTTGTAAAAAGAGAATTATTTTTCATATCTTATAATAAAAGCTTAGAATTGAAACAATAAATATGTCCATTTGATGGTGAGTAACAAAGCCTGGTACGTTCAGAATTATCACCAGGTTATAAATGATGTCGAGTGTATAATAAAGGAGTGCAATACCGGTTCCGATTTATACAACTGTCCGAAAGTTTCAATTGCAGAAATCCTTCATCTTTATGTTAACATTTAATACCACCGCTGATAAAATGTGATTGCGTGTTTGATGAAACTGTTTTCCATAAACCCAGATAAGCTTCATAAACAATTTGCAGGTCTACCACTGCTTGTTCTTGTATATGTTCAGTGTCAACGTCTGCCTCAGCTGTTGTCGGTTTAAAATCAACTGGTTCTTGATTTTGAACTTCTCTGGTTTTACTTTTCTGCTTCTGAACTATTGTACAATGGAAAAAAAGTTTTAGATGTGCACGCTACATCTCTTTTTTTATCTGGCCTCCTTATCCAGAGCTTTTTTCGTTTTACAGTTCCGGTCTCATACTTCCAGACATCGTACAATACACAGTCTACATACAAAGACAGTCTACAAGAAAAACTTTTCTTAATTAATCAATCAATGTCTATTTCTAAATACAAAACTTATTACAATTCAAGGTCATTTATAAATAGTAATAAATTAATCTGAAGCAAACACCTGAAATTAATGACAATAATATAATAATAGAAAAAAATGAAAACAATAATAAAAATAATAATACATAGTATATTATAACATAATTAAAGACATTCATTTAATAAAAGTATTGTAACACTAAATTAAAAAAATTACAATACATACATATGATAATAATAAATACAACACATAATAATAATAATATTTTTTGCTATTAACTATTCTTGCTATTAACTATTTTATTTTAAAATAGTTAATAGCAAGAATAGTATTAATAATAACAAAAAATAAATTATAATAATTAAAATAAATCAATACTAACTTCCATACAACTATAGGTTATACATACATAGTTATAAACAGTAATGACAATACGTAGCAACTAACGGTGACATAAAAACTAATCTTAATTGTAAAGAGTTAATAAATATAATCATAATTGTTGAAATATAATAACTAAAATACATTCCAAAAATAATAAACAAATAAATAAAATATAAACTGAAATAAACAAAAACTTAAAAAAAAAACACTTTACAAAACAAAA